CACCGCGGTGGCTCCGGCAGCCCCGGGCCCGCTGGTGACAGTGATTGCAGCTGTGCTGTGCTGCAATCACTGTCACTGGGCTGCCCTGGGGCGCCGCCGCTTTATCCCAAAGGAATTCGATTTTTCTGCCACCTTTGGAACGTAACCGTGCCCCGTGCAAAGTCCTGTGTGCAGAGAAGGTGACAGGATCTCTCTCGTCCTGGCCACTTTCCCGCACAAGGAGCTGTGACGTCCAGCGTGACCCTGAGAGGGTTTTATCAACATCCCAACCACAGCGCTCGGGGTCGGCTTCTCAGGAAACGGAGAAATTCCAGGAAAAGGGAGTTCGGCGAAGCCCCCCGCGTCTCTCGGCGCCGAGAGCGCAGCTGGAGCGTGGAGGGAGAAGGAAATGATGCAGCACAGAGATTAGGGTGCCCAAAACCCAGGCTGGCTTCGGGGAAGTGCCTGCCGCAGGCACGGTGCCCCCGCTGCCGCACCTGACCGCAAGATGCCCGGCGCGATGCGGCCGCTACCGGGAAAGGGAGTTCTCAGTAAGCAAAAGTGCACACTCAACACACCAGGGGTTCACCCACGGGCTCCTTCTCGGCAAGAGGTGCCCCAGCAGCGCTGCAGGGATGGGTAAAGCCCGCTGCTGCCTGGCTCTGGGTGCTCAGGATGTTACAGGTGTTGCTCCACTTTAGCCTCAAACCCTACCGGCATCAGCTTCCCCACTGAATGTCCAGCAAGGATATTTGGGATTGGTGGTGGTTTTCACAGCAAAGCTCTTCCCAGCTCACCCAAATGTGCCAGGAATGCTGTCCCCAAGGGCTGTGAGCTGCTGCCTGGGTGCTCAGGGGACACTGAGGGTGCTGGGGGAGCCTTTCCCACTCAGAGGGGGAAGGTGGCTCTCCAAGAACGAGAGTGGCACGATGACGACAGCGGTGGCAGTGGCTTGGTGATGATGGCGGTAGGGCAGTGAGGGGGGTGGTGGTCTGGCAGTGGTGGCACAGAGATGACAACAGCAATGACAGCAGTGTCGTGGTGATAGCGGCAGTGGCAGAGTGATGATAACAGCGGCACGATGACGACGGTGGCACGGTGATGACGGCAGTGGCACGGTGATGATGATGGTGGCACAGTGATGACGGCACTGTGACAGTAATGACGACAGTGGCACGGTGATGATGGCATTGTCACAGTGACGATGGCAGTGGCACAGTGATGATGGCAGTGGCTGGGCCATCAGGCCAAGTTCATGCAGAGCAAATCCTTCGAGAGCAGCAGGAGCTGCCCCCGGACCCTCCACGCTCCGAGGGTTTCCCCAGGCCAGCTCTCACTTCCACTCTGAGTCACCCACGGGAGGTGGGGAAGTGCCTGAGCCCTTGTGCAAGGTCCCCAACGGATACGGGCGAGATTTGTCACTTCTTGTAAATCACTGTGGCCCTTACGCAAGGGACAAACCTCAGCCAAGCTGCAGGGCCAGGCCTGGCCGTGCTGGATGGACACAAAACCATATCCTGTGCCTGCAGCCCTGGGGAAGCTGTGAAGTTTTCCAGGAGCGTGGATACACTCAGCTCTTTTCCAGGGAATGCTGAGTGAACTGGGTGGGAAACATCCCCTGGTGCCAGGGCAGGGCAGGGGGAGGCAGAGGGGCCCTGCAGGGCTCCAAGGGTTCTGCTGGAGAGTCCAAAATTCCTGCTGGAGCAGCCATCATCCTCAGGAGTTTGCACCAAGGGTAATCCGAGCCTTCACCCTCGGGGATTTTGTGTGGCAGGAAATCCCACAGGTGGTTTCCCTTGGGAGTTGAACCCAAGGCTCATCCTTGAGGACTTGTGCACCACAGATAATCCCAAAATGTGTCCTCAGGGTTTTGCACCAGAGCTAATCCTGGCGTTCATCCTCAGGGATCTGCACCACAACCACTCCAGTTATTCATCCTCAGGGATCTGCAGCTCACTAATCCCTCTCCCCACCAGCTAATCCCAGTGCTCTGGGGGAGCTGACAGCACAGTTAATCCCAGTGCTCTTCCTCAGGTGTTTGCACCACAGCTCATCCCAAGGGCAGAGATCCACCCTGGACAGCCCCTGCCAATGCTGGTTTTGGGACAGGCACTGGAATCCCATTGATGAGTGCCTGCTGC